TGGGTGTTCAGAATCTTACCAGAGTCAGGCCCTATGTGGCCAGCGATGCCTACCTGCCAGGTGTGCATGTCTCACCAGGCCACCAGGACATCTGCGGCTTTCGGCCCCCAGGTCCTATCCCGGTGCCTTCATCAGGCACTGTCATCATACTTCATCATACTGCACTGTCAGGATCGCCTCAGGGGTGTTGAGACCGCCAAGCTTCCTGTGGACCAAACTGTGGCACAGAAAGCACATGACAAGATGGGAAGGTTTGCTGATGCCTCCCAAGGAGGGCAGATTGCTTCTGGTGAACGCTGACTGGGATAGGAAAGAATATTTACCAGATCAATCGCTGCATAACAGGCGCTCAACTGTATTGATTTGTTTCTTTAAGGAGAACACACTTCAAACAGCAGCTACAAGGGGAGTCACCTTCTGATTGAGCTGACGATCTAGGCAGTCCCCAAAACCATCATTTTCTGCCGAAAAATGGAGAATAAAACTGGAGAAAGAAGTCTCACACTGCATTAGTCTATGCAATCCCCTCGTGATGCTGCGTTTTCTCCGACAGGCTGCTGTGGTAGGAAATTCATGCCTCTCCTACTGGCTTTTCTTACAGTGAGGTGAGGAGATGATAATGGTTGTTAACATTTGTTGAATGCTTACTCCGTGTGAGACCCTGCTCTAAGTAGTTTATATTTATTAGCCGATGTGGTTTGGTCCCCTCCAAATCTCATATTGAAATGTGATCCCCAACGTCAAAAGTGGGGCCTCATGGGAGGTGTTTGGGTCATGGGGGCGGATGCCTCATGAACGGCTTGTGCCCTGCTCACCCTAATGACTTCTCACTCTGTGAGATCACGAGCTCACATGGGAGCTGATTGGTTAAAGCGCCTGGCATCTTTCTTGCTCTGCCACCCGCCATGTGGCACACATGCTCCTCCTTACCTTCTACCATGAGGAAAGGCCTCCTGAGGCCCCCAGAAGCTGAGCAGACACAGGTGCCAAGCTTGTGCAGCCTGCAGAACCATGAGCCAAGTCAACCTCTTCTCATTATAAATTACCCAGTCTCAAGGTGTCCCTTTAGAGCAACGCAAAACCAGACGAACACGTTAGCCAAGTGATCCTCCAAACAAAAACAAATTCCACAAGCTCTACAGGAGGTGGCGTCGGCATCCCTCTTTTAACATATGAATGCAGTGGGGGGGGCTTAAACTGGTAATTTCCTGTTATACAACACATGATAATTCATTTCAACAGAGTCACAAAAAGTCCCTCAAGCTTTGATTTTGGAATTTAGGAGTATTTAGCTCGCTCTGGGAATAGAGGGATGATTCTCCTTCAAGGACCGTACAGTTGTTTAAAGTCCTGCGTTCCTCTGATACTCTCAGCAGTGAGAGAACACAGAGGGAATGTGCCCGTCTATGGGGGTGCCCGCGGGAGGACTCCGCAGCAGAGGGTTCCACCCACACAGGAAAGATGGACAGCTACTGGGTAGAGAAACAAAACCAACAAAACCTGACTCATAAAACCTGTGAGCAACGCCCCCAAATCAAAGGAAGAAGCTGCGGATCACAAATCATCCAGTATTCCAGTATCCCAGTATTCAGAAATAACAAATGTGCAGACCAGGGGCAGTGACTCCCGCTTAAACCCCAGGACTCTGGGAAGTCAAGGTGGGGGGATCCCTTGAGCCTAGGACTTTGAGAACAGCCTGGGCAATATGCAATATGGTGAGACTTCGTCTCTTAAAATAAATAAATAAATAAATGTGCCGGGCATGGCAGCACACCCTTGTAGTCCCAGCTCCTCAGGAGGCTGAGGTGGGGGTGGATCACCCGAGCCTGCGGAGGTGAAGTCTACCGTCAGTGAGCCGTGACGGCATCACTGCACTCCAGCCTTGGCAACAAAGCAAGACCCTATCTCTAAAAGGAAAAACAAACAAAAACTGTAAAAACACACACACACACACACAAATGTGCAAACATTTGAGGAATAATCCAAATATTTCTCTCCATTTTTACAGGGGTAAATTTCCATAATTAAGGAGAGGCAGAAAGAGGTGGAGAGAAAGAGAATTTCCTAACAGCAGGATATTTTATACATTTCATTTTAAAAATAAAATGTTAAATTTAACAAATGAAAATAAACTAGTGAAGCTCAAGGAATTGCTGGATGCATAAAAATCTCTTTAAAATTGTGTACAAAAGAACATATGTAATATACATGCGCCTTGGTAAGGACCGTAGAATGTGGAGCCTGCATGCCACCAACACGATGACATCCTGGTCTGTCTTCACTCCTCCCTGCAGATGAATCAACTCTTACAAATGTGCTCACCATTCCCTTACTTTTAAAAGATAATTTTCAAAAAATAAAAAATAAAATTTAAAAAAATCATATATATATATACCTGCGCCGGGTTTGGTGGCTCAGGTCTGTAATCCCAGCACTTTGGGAGGCCAAGGTGGGCAGATCCCTTGAGGTCAGGAGTTCAAGACCAGCCTGGCCAACATGGTAAAACCCTGTCTCTACCAAAAAATACAAAAATTAGCCAGGCATGGTGGCACACGCCTGTAATCCCAGCACTTTGGAGGCTGAGGCTACCCAGGTGGCTGAGGCAAGAGAATCACCATGTTGTACTGTCTGGTCTCAAACTCCTCGGCTGAAGGGATCCTCCCATCTCAGCCTCCCAATGTGCTGGGATTACAGGAGTGACCCTAAATTTGAATTTCAGATAAACAATGAATAATTTATTTAGTATATATCCCCCAAACTGCATCCTGTTTATTAGCTAAACCTGGCAACCCTAAACCCAAGCCATACCCAGTGCTCTAAATGCAGGTCTGTCCTTGGGCCATCCTCTGCTGAGGAGCTGACCCTTTGCTCTGGGCCTTGTCGGAGTCCCCAGGCCAGGGACCGCCCTGCTGCACTGTCATCCTCACGGCCTCATTCTTCACTTCCTCAGCAGCTTTTCGGTGCCGTCAGACTCTGTTTAAAAAACACTGATTTCGTCTGTCTTCTCTGTTGCTGTCACTGGGAAGGCTGCACCTTCTGCCCTGCCACCTCTGCTGCAGAATCATATGGACTCTCCCGCCCTCTCCTCTGCAGAGCCACAGACTCCTCCCACCCTCTCCTCTGCAGAACCACAGACTCCTCCCCCCCTCTCCTCTGCAGAACCACGGACTCCTCCCTCCGTCTCCTCTGCA